AAACACAGCAAGGGCCTAAGGCAGCACAAAAGATCCACAAAACTGAGTTTATGGGGAATGGGAGGATAGAAGGGAAGGGGCTCTGGGATTCTTGGAGGAGGGAAGGGGGTACATTGGAAATAGGTGTGGTGTGGAATTAAGGACACAGGAAATCACCACTAACAATGCTGTAAATCACAGTACCTCAATCAAAAAAATACTGGGAGCAGAGCAATTGCGTGGTGGGTAGGAAGCTTTCCTTGCCTGTGGCTCACCTGGGTTTGATCCCTGGCACCACATATGGTTCCCTGAGCCTCTCCAGAAGTGACTGCCCTGAGCATCACTGGGTATGGTAACCCCCCCCCCCCCCCCAATAAACAACTGACTGAAAGGGACAAATCTGGAAAAAAAAAATTATCTGCTGCCTACATGCATGCAAAAAATGAACAGTAAGTATTTTTCTAGTTTTAGGAACAAATATGAAGAAGAAATTATTGACAAGGATAAGTAGGAACAGCCACCCTGAAGTGTCCTTTGAAGTCAATCTCCTTGAACATCACAAGGTTTTCCACTAAATAGCCGTCTATTTTTATTATCAGCGCTTGTGAGCTCTGTAAATTCCTCAAAGCTTAAGTTCTCATTTTTCCTGGCAGTGACCTTTCCCAATTACTCCACACTCTGGGACAGCAAAGTTATTGTTAAACAGATCATTAGAAATGGCAGAGCAGGTCCTTACACCTGAATAAATTAGTGCTGAGCACCAATTAGGTGCTTTGGGACTCCATGCATTCTTTGGGACCAGTAAGGTTGTATCACTGCACTGAAGCAGTAATAAAGGGAAAAATCTGAGCTGAAGGCTGGAAACTTATGTGAGTTTGCCCCTACTGACAGAGGGTACATAATACATGCTTTTAAGATGCCACTCTGCCAGTTAACCAGCCTAAGTAAGTAATACTTGTGCTTTATTTCCATTTATACTGGAGAAAATATTTCAGTTAAGCTAAAGAAACACCAAGAGTAAGAACAATCTGTTTGCTTCTCCTCTCCTTCCCTCTCCTTTCCTCCCCTCCGCTTCCCTCCCTCCCTCCCTCCCTCCCTCCCTCCCTCCCTCCCAAATCATACTGCTTTGCTGATCAATTTTCAAATATAAAATAATTTTCTGAAACTTTTTTTTTTTGGCTTCTCTGAGGAGACAAATAGTGAAGATAGTTTGATTTAGGAAATAGGAGAGAGGAGAGTTGAGTGAGCCTGGTAAAGTACTCATGTACCCAAGGTGGGGTACAGGTAATTCCTGAATGAAGTGTGCCATAAAGAGAAGGAAAAGATTGGAATCCTGGAGTAGAGGGACAAGGGCAGCCCCAGAACGGAGTTCACAGGGTACAGGAACTACACACCCTAAGGTGGGACGCATGCAACCCACAAATGGAGTGTGCCTGGAAAAATTTCTTAAGCAGTCAATCTTCATACCCTCACTTCTTCAGAGAATGTTTTGGAACTTTACTGTGGTACACAGCACCATGCAGAATCAACCCAAATGCTCTACTGATTTGTTTAATTTCTTGCCTAAGTTAATTCGACTGGTATAGGTATGAAGGGATCAATGCCAAGGATATATAGCTCCTTCTTGAGAGACAGAAATTTTTATTCTTCTCAAGGTCATTAATAATGTTATGGTATCTAAAATAATAACTTCGGGCAAATAAATTGTGTTCATAAAATATGAGATGCCCTGCAGGAACCAAACAGGACATGCTCAAGCAGGTAAAATCTGCTTCTATTCCAACAGTGCTTCACGTTGAAAGTAGCTTTGTAGTCTACACCTTAAACACAGAAGCTGGTATTCTTAGTTACCAGATTACAAACACAATGCTTGGATTATCTGCCCAGCTTCTAGAAGCATCCAGGTTTCCTTAAAATATTGAACTCCTTTATATTATGATTTGACTAGGCCACCACCATCAATAGACCTGACAGTTTGATGCTCTGACTTGGTGATGTGGTACCCCCTCGGGCCTTGGGCCTGATGGACGGCAGACTGGACTACCTTCATGAATTTATGTACCACCCTGCTTACAACATTCAGAAAGGGAGTTGGGGCTCAGGTAAACAGCTTAAGTAGCTTGGTGGCTCAGAACACTTGTCTTGCAAGCATCAAGACACGAGTTCATTACCCAGTGCTGTGTGCATGTCCTGAGTGCGATCCTGGCGGTTGTTTGGTCGGTGAGCCCCAGAGCCACAAGCAATTCCCGGCTGGGCAGCAGGGCGCTGGGGAAATGCTAGGACCGGAGCATGCGTGAGTAGCATCCCTCGGGAGGGTGACTCTCCGCAAGCAGCATGGATAAAGAAGCGTGACCTCTGGCGAGCACTGAGGCATTTGGAGCATGAGAGCCCTCAAACCTGGTGCTCGGCCCCTGGCAAGCACTACAACTCCACAACTCCATGAGCACCAGAGTGAGGTGAACGTGTGACCCTAGTCACCACGGTGGCAGCAGCACCAACAACCACCAACAAAAAGGAAGGAAAAAAATTTTTTAAAAAAGTTTATAAACTTAAATAAGAGATCCCTTCTTAATATATATTTTTTTTTAAAAAAAGGATATGGAAATAGCAAGCGAGATTTTGAAACACTTCTGAAAAATTAGTTAAAGATATCTTGGAACTAGTAGCATGAATCTTTGTGGGATTAGCACAGTATTTTATGCTGGATATAAATAGTGCACTGTTTCTCCTCTGAAATACCTAATATAGAGGGGAGATGACTAACACAGTTATTTTGATATGAATGTTCAAACTTCTTGATCTTGTTTCAGATTTTTTTTGGTTGCCATTTTATTTTTGTTTTTGTGGCATACCTGGTTCTGCTTAGGGCTTACTGCTGGGTCTGCACTCAGGATCGCTCTCTGAGCTGAGTTCTGGGAAACATATGGGGTGCCAGGGTCAGCTGCATGCAAGACAAATGCTCGGCTCATTGCATTATCTCTCCAGCTCCATGTTTTGGATCTTTTGGTATTACAGAAGACTTTCAAGTAGGGTTTTAAAATTTGGAATATATCAGGGTTTTTTAACCTGATCCTACTTGTTGCCCAAGGCATTTCCCCCTGAGATTTTTACAGGCCCTCTGGTATACAAAATAGGCATTTAAAACAGTTATACATATCAAACATTTACAGATAACACAACATAAAGAAATTTACTTTAAAACCATTTTGCTTTTTTTTTTTTTTTAAAGTTGAGGATGTCTGCAGTGGTAACACTTTGGGGCTGGAGCGATAGCACGGCATTTGCCTTGCATGCAGCTGACCCGGGATCGATCCCTGGCATCCCATATGGTCCCTCAAGCACCGCCAGGAGTAATTCCTAAGTGCAGAGCCAGGAGTGACCCCTGAGCATTGCTGGGTGTGACCCAAAAAGAAAAAAAAAAAAGTTGAGGATATCCAATTTAGGCTGCATTCCAAAGTTTAAGAAGCTAGGAACTAGGCCATAACATATATTCCACCTTTTTAACCTGTATTTAAATTACTGTCTCAAACAATATTTCACTTTTCATTTTAAAAAAAGAAGAAAACGGCCAAATAATTTTTTTATCACACGAAATAATCTATGGAATTTTGTTTTAAATTTGTATAGAAACAGCTTCTATCCTGGGGCTTTCCAGCTCAAAATCTAAATATATCATGAAGTAAACTTTATCTAGATAATGTAAATAAGTAGTCAATATGAGCAGCTACCTTACGGGGATCTTCTATTGTATAGAAACCAATTTTTTTAAACTTACAAACAGCAACAAGCAGACCCTAATTCAGTTACTAGACCTTTAATGCCAACACAGAATAGTGGAGAGGTATTGATATTGGAAAGGGTCTATGTGTTGATCACCTCTAAAACCTGAAACGGAGAGGTTTTCCAAGGCCTGGACAATTATCAAAAAATTACTGTCATACGTAGGGAACACTGTCCTAAGGATTAAGGTCACAAACCTTTGATTCTCAATTTCCCAAAATGTCACTGGACTTGTGTATCTGCTTTTCTGTGATATATTAACTACAGGAAATAATAATTTGTTGACTTAGAAATATCACAGTGATTTTGTTGTTGTTGTTTAGTTTTTGGGTCACACTTGGTAAGTCTCAGGGCATACTCCTGAACCTGTGCTCAGGGATCACTTCTGGCAGCACTCAGGAGACTATATAGGGTGCTGGGGATTGAACCCAGGTCAACCACATGCAAGGTAAGTGCCCTATCTGCCTTACGGTAGCCTGGGCATCTTGCAGTAATTTTATTTATTTTTGCTTTTTGGGTCATACCCAGCGATCTCCAGGGGTTATTCCTGGCTCTGCGCTTAAGAATTACTCCCTGACAGTGCTTGGGGGACTATATGGGATACCAGGGACTGAACTGGGATCGGCAAGGCAAATGCCCTACCCACTGTACGTAATAATTTAAAACAATGAACCCCCCCACCCCCACCAAAAAAAAAAAAAAAGCAAAAGAAAGGTGGTTGAGGATGTCTTCCCCTGAGCTCTCTCTGCAGTGCATTTTGGAATAAGACATTCAGACTCCCGATAAGACATCCCAGATTCCTCTGTCTGATTCCTATCCATTTCAGGGAATGCTTTCCTTCCATCAGGTAGAAAATATTAGGGCTTGAGATAAGTAATATATTTTCTTATAAGCAAAACTGATCCCTGGAGCAACAGACTATGATGGAAGATGTAATTTAGTTTTTTAAATATGTGTTTATAACTAACTTTCATGAACATAGCTAAGAACTACTATAGGCAAATCTCTATTTACAACACAAATCTGAAACACCTACATGTTTTCCTGTGTAACACAGAATGTTTCTTTTAGCTGACACAATGTTTTATCTTTATATTTGAGCAGGAATTTGTAAATAGGTCATTCTTGGTATTTTTGGCCAGAAGAACATTTAGCCATTAGCTTTGTTTTAGGGAAAACAGTGAAATGTAACAGTATAAAATATCATGCTTCTCTACTTTTACGCATGCACACAAAGTTACCATCTGATGTTTTCTTTAATTCCATTTGCAGTCTTTCCTGATCTTCTAAGAGTTTTCTGTTTTCTTCTTCCAAAAGAGTGTCCTCCTCCTTGCCGCTTTTTTTCAAGATCTATCACAAAAGAGTTAGAAAAAGACATGAGTTTAGATCTCAACGGCCAGCCTTCCAGAAAATATGCTTAATAATGTATTTAAAATTATTGATCTTGATTTTTTTTCAGTATTTTATACTTTTGTAACATGTTTTTGCTAACATAAAACTAAAACTTGGGAAACACGGAAAAATATTTGTTATTATGGCTGAATTTCTGAAATGAAAAGTTTCTCTTTAGACTATCACTAAAGGCATTTTCAAAACTATTAGGAAAGTAATATGTATGTTTTTACTTAATTACATGTCTGATAAAATTTCAAGAAAGAAAAAGCAGTTCTGTAAATGACAGTAATTGGGAAATTGTATTTCAATGGAAGAATGCTTATTCAGATTTTTTTTTTCTTTTTGGGTCAGACTTGGAGATGCACAGGGGTCATTCCGGGCTCTGCACTCAAGAATCACCCCTGGCAGTGCTCAGGGGACCATATGGGATGCTGGGAATCAAACCCGGGTTGGCCACCTGCAAGGCAAACGCCCCACCCGCTGTGCTATTGCTCCAGCTCCCAGACTATTTTTATACAGATGACTTTGTAAGATAAAAATCAGTAAGGGGAAAGATGACAGAGATATCTCTGTTTAGGAAATACTATCTAATTTTTCCATGAATAGTTTCCAATGACCTGTGTTAACTCTTTACAACATACTTTATATTTGAAAACATATTTTAATTTCAAAGATGTTTAATGTTTGCAGCTTATTTTGCGTGGCAAGAAAAATAAAGGTCTGAAAAGTAAACCGTTTAACTATGATAGAAAGACAGTAAAATTTTCATTGTCTGGTTGCAGCTTATCATTGTGAATACAATTAAGCAGTTGGTTTATCCTTAAGGAATTTGTTTCTAAGAAGATAAATGAAATCAATCTTTGCAAAATAATGTATGCACACACTGGCGCACACACACACATAAAACACAACTCAAGGAAATTTTAAGTGGATGGACAAAGAATAATTTCTACTATTTTTAACAAGCAAAACTCAAAAATTTCTATCGAGCACTGAACAATGCAAGTATTTTCTAATGCTTGACGCTATGGGGGATAAAAAATGCCATAGAAACATGGTTCCTGTTCTCAGATAAATTCAATCTAGTGGAACGGGTATGTCAAAGGCATAATTTTAAAAAAATTTTTTATTAGTGAAACACCATGAGGTACAGTTGTAGACTTACAAATTTTTTTTCAAGTAATTTTTTTTTAATGTAGGAGTACTACTATTTCTTCAGTCACTGTTTAGCTGATTAAATTGTGCATGAACTCCACCTTCCTTTTTTTCATTTTTTATAATTTTATTTATTGAATCACTGTGAGAGCAGTTAAAAAGCTTTCGGGCCTAAGTCTCAGTCATACAATGAAACACCCGTACCTTCACCAGTGCCCATTTTCCACCCCCAACAACCCCAGTATAACCCCATCCCCAACCCTCCCCCTACCTGTGGGGCAGATGATTTCCACATTACTCTCTCTCTACTTTGATCACATTCAATATTTCAACACCAGACCCACCATTATTATTTGAGATTTTACCCCAACACTCAGATCTGCTGAAAGGACAACAGTAGACAATTTCTTTTCTATTGCTGGTTATGAATAACATATGATGTCACGTGGCTGCAGTAGGGCCATGTGATTTTGAAATTCCAAAAATTTAACACTTAAATCTGGAGGGATTTCTGCCAAAACCTGCTGGGTTTTGAGATTTGCTCCTGAGTCTCCGGGATCATGGCCGTTGAGCAGCTTGATCAGGAGCCAGAGAGGCCCTTTGTGGGCAATGACTTGGGGTCTTGTTGGGGTGGGGAGGACAGGACCGGCTCCACCCCTATCCCGTGAGACCCTGCGTGTCTCGTCACTGGGGGCCCAAACCTGACTGCCCAGTGGCCTCTGAAGTATGGCGGCCACTGGACCGCCGGGGGGAACAGGCCAAGGCATGAAACCTATTCCCACCAGGGTTGGCCCAGCACCGGTAACCTACTGCAGGGACTGGACGCATTTCTGCCAAAAGCCGCTGGGTTTTGAGATTTGTTTCTGAGTCTCTGGGATCATGGCCATTGAACAGTTCAATCAGGAACCAGAGAGGCCATGCCTCCAATTATATAGCTGAGCCGGAGGTGGTTTGTGGGTGTGTCTCCCACATACCTTACTTTCTTGGTAAACTTTGCCTCAAGTTTTTGGGGTCTGGCCAAAGGCACAGCAGCAATTTTGGGGTATCTGGAAGTCTGAGGGCATCATCAGGCTGCTGATGCACTCGCCTCACAGGTACAGATTGACCTGCTAGTGGCACCATACCCCCAACTTACAAATTTTTGTGCTTGGGTTTCAGTTATACACTGATTGAGTACCCATCCCTATAGCAGTGCCCATTCTCTACCACCAATGATTCCAGTATCCCTCCCACCCCCCATCCACCCCATCCCACCCTGCTCTGTGACAGGGCATTCCCTTTTGTTCTCTCTCTCCTTTTGAGTGCTGTGGTTTGCAAAAGAGGCACTGAGTGGCAATCATATTCGGTCTATAATCTACTTTCAGCATGCATCTCCCATCCTGGGAGGATCCTCCCAACACCCTTCATTTGGTGCTCCCTTCTCTATCTGAGCTAAAGGCATAAAATCTTAAGCATAAATTCATATAAAGGACTGGAGAGAGAGAAAGGGGCTAAGGTGCTTGCCTTACATGTGGCCAACCCTACCTCAGATTGATCTGACACTATTCATGGTTCCCCGTGCATGGCCTGAGTGATCTCTTGAGCACAAGGACAGGAGTAAGCCTGAAAATTCTGCTGGGTATGCCCCCCCACCCCCAACAACAGAAGATCAAATATAGTATCTGTTATAACAGGACAATCAGATCTGTAGTGTATTAAATCTGTTGAATAATTCTATAATCCAAATAAGTTGTTCTTTCACTAAAACTGAATCTCATATCCTCCAAACAAAAACATTTTTATTTTGGCTTCTGGGTCACATCTGACGATGCTTGGGGGTCACTCCTGGCTCTGATCACTCCTGGTGGTACTCTGGAGATTGAAACCAGGTCAGTCAAGTGCAAAAGCAAGCATCCTTCTCTCTGCAGTGTCTCCCTACCCCCAACCTCCAAAGATTTTTAAAGACATGGCAACATTAAAGGTATTTCTTTAATCTTTATTTATTTGGTGTCCACTCCAAGTTTAAAAATAATCTGAGCTGTTATTATCCTGAATTTAGTTCACACTCTCCAGTGATCACCCAAATTGGAAAAAGAGCACTGAGTGGCAGGAATGTGTACACTGACTGCTTGAATTATCATGCTATTGACTTGGAAAAGGTGGATTTGTGTTGGTCTTATAAATAAGCTTTCATTAAGCTTGCACCTGTGAACCTATGTATAGGTTTCATTAAATGAGCACCTGTGAAGACCAAGAGCTTTGGAAACTAACAATCAATAGCTCCAACTACAATCATGTATGTGTATTATTCCTTCCACCTTATATCTCTATCCCCAAATCAATGAGAAGTTGCATAAGTGTTATGATTTTAAAGAAGCTGAAAAAAGAAATTAATTTATTAATTACCTTTAATAATTATTTTGTTTCTTTAATGGGTTTTAGGTACCATCTATAAGTAAAGCTTACAAGTCATCATATGAGTAAAGGACACAGAACAATGTGGTTAAGAGCGTGGATTCCAGCCAGGGACTGGAGCGATAGCACAGCAGGGAGGATGTTTGTTTTGCATGTGGTTGAGCCAGGTTCAATTTCCAGCAACCCATCTGGTCCTCCAAGCACCATCAGGAGTAATTCCTGAGTGCATGAGCCAGGACTGTGCTTCACGGGGTGTGACCCAAAAAGCAGGGGGAAAAAAAAAAGTGTGGATTTCAGAGTCAGGCTACTTGGAAATTAGAAGACTTTATTTCTGTCACTTTATGTGAATGATTTTTGTGTAATTTAGTTTAACTCTCAATCTTTATGTGAACCATTCCTTAAATGCACATTATAAATGAATAGATCTTCTGGGGTTGTTTTGAGCATTCAGAGTTGATAAACCTCACTGTGAAGCATTTCTCACCATTATTTATAACCTTGAGGTCCTGAAGTTACGAGGTCACTTGCCCTGCAATTTTCTTATTGGTACATCAGAGGTCAGAGTCGCTAGGATCTCAAGGTAATACTTTCCATTAGATTGTATGTCTCAGAGTGACAAATATAAAGTTCTACCAATTTTATCTTCTTTGTTAGTATTTTAAAACCTTCACCAAGTATCTTGAAATAGAAGTCACTGACATTCTGACCTCTGACCTCTGACCTTTTTTTTTTCTTTTTCTTTCTCTTTTTATTAGTGAAACACCATGAGGTACAGTTGTAGACTTATAAACTTTCGTGTTTGGGTTTCAGTTATACAATGATCGAGTCTCATCCCTCCACCAGTGCCCATTCTTCACCACCAATGATCCCAGTAGCCCTCCCACCCCTCCCATCCCCCTTCCCTCCGCCTCTGTCGCAGGGCAATCCCTTTTGCTTACTCTTTCCTTTAGGGTGTTCTAGTTTGCAATAGAGGTATTCAGTGGCCATCGTGTTTGGTATATAGTCTACTTTCAGCACGCATCTCGCATCCTGAGTGAGTCCTCTTGGACTCATGTCTTTTAATGTCTTTTACTTGGTGTTCCCTTCTCTATCTGAGCTGCCTTTCCCCCCAGCATGTGCTGCTGGCTTCCAAGCCATGGTGCAGACCTCCTGGTACTTATCTCAACTCTTCTTGGGTCTGAGCTCTGACCTTTACTGGTAAGCTGCATATACTTTGGGCACTGTCAGTATAGATGTCCAGTTCAGACATGTGTTCTGACTTTAGCTCAACATATCAGTAAAAGCATCGACAATTTGTATTGGGTCATAGATATGGAACAGGGTGACTTAGTGCCTCAAAAGAAGAAAATCCAAAGGGAGGGGAAGCAAAACAGCAGAGAAGGGTGGGTGGTGAGATCGCATAGGTTCAAACTGCAACAGAACCCAGAAACACCCAGGATCCATGTGGAGCCCCACATGAGGAACCAGCAAATGGTTCTGTTTCCCTCTTAGGAGTAACCACTCATTACTTCATTATAACAGATATGATTTTAAATCAAGGGAGGAACATGATAAGTTCACAAACACAAAGCCTGCATGTACTTATGTCCTATTCACTCATCAATGATTTGAGGGTTTTTTTGTTTCCCTAACTGCAAATGAGATCAATGGATGAAAAATGAAACAAATAATACTAAGGCATAAAATGAGGTTGATTGTGCTGCTGAAACATTTCAAAATAAGCAAAAATGATTTGTTACTAAATACAGAGACACAAGGCCTAGATTTATAACAAAGGGAAATTTACAAACCTATCTACACACCAATACATTCCCAAACAGAATAAAAACAAAGTTAAAAAAAATTATATTGGCTGGGTCTCTAAAATCTTTTTTCAAGGATGTTGCTTATAATCTATTAAGATACATTTTTAATTGTTGCTATGAGAATAAGTCTTTCTCTTTTTTTTTTGGGGGGGGGGCGCACACCCAGCAGTACTCAGGGTTTACTTCTGGCTCTGTGCTCAGGAATCACTTCTGGCAGGCTTAGGGGACCATATGGGATTCCAGGCATTGAACTCTGGTGGGCTGCATACAGAGTGAACACCCTCCTTGCTGTACTATCTCTCTGGCTCAGGTCCTTCTTTTTTGTGATAGCAGAAATAGGTAAATCTCAAGAGGTAAGTTTTTAGGTAGGAAAATATGGGCTCTAAAATATGGAACACAAAAAGCAAAAAATTATTTTGCAAGTTTTTCCCTATTTAATGTTTTAAAAGCTCAAAATGTACTATCTAACCAGATGTTATTTAGAACAATCTTTTCTCCCCCAAGCAGCAAAATGGGGTTTAACGTGAACTTAAAACACTTAAGTTATTACATCACTATCACTATCACTTTGTTGTTCACCAATTTGCTCGAGCGGGCACCAATAACATCTCTATTCGTCCCTGTCATGTACTAGTGTAGCTCGATGGCATATTGGGGGCTCGTTCAGGGTCAGGGGAATGAGGACTATCATTGTTACTGTTTTTGGCATATCGAGTACGCCACGGGTAGCTTGCCAGGCTCAGTCATGTGGGCGGGATACTCTCGGTAGTTTGCCAGACTCTCTGAGAGGGATGGAGGCTTTTGGGGCAGCCTCTAATCACCTTGACACGTGTTCCCAGTCAAGCATATATATGTGGCCAGGATACTCTCAGTAGCCCCACTCTGAGAGTGAGAACTAGAGAATAAGAGGTTGTGCGGCCACAAATGCACAAGCTTGGTTTTATAGTCTCTGGATCCTGGCGGTTGATGGGTTTACATGGCAGTTGGTGGGTGTTAACTGTCTAGCTACTGGAAGATGGGGGATCTGGGTGGAGGAGGCCCAGTCCTGAACCGAGCATGCTTGGAGATCTCAGCCCCGGTTCCTGCACACCTGGGTTCCTCTGCTGGTTCCTTCATTAGTGAGGCTGTCCTAGCGTGTGAAGAGTGGTCTCAGCATGGCTGTGGCTAGGTCCTAGAGGTCTTCAGCTGCTAGGACTCTGCTCAGGGAGGAGAGGGAAACTCAACCCGCCCTCCTCCAAGGGCCCCCCTTGTAATGTTAGTTATTACATCTAACTCCTAAATTTCAAAGTGAAGGAAAAACTAGCCAAAGTCATTTTGTGTTTTAATTTTTAAGTTTTTTTAAACTTTAGTGGATAATAGTCATGGATAATGGTTTTATCTTGCTGATGGACAATACATTAGTACCTAAGGTTGGGGATGTTGCTCAGTGGTTGTGAGTATGGTTTCCGTGTTAAGACTATGGATTTTATACACACACACACACATAAAACCATGAACACCACCAACAAAAACTTCAAAACAACAACAACAAAAATCAGAATCCAATTCATACACTGAATGGCAGGTGTAGGATACAGCATAGGGTTCTTAAAGATAAAATATCAAGGATATCACCAAAGATCCAAAGTTTTTTCATTATACGCAATCATTAATTCAGCACTACTTTCTTTTGCTTCTTGCATACAATAATTGTTGATAGAAAACTAAAAGAGGAGACGTAAGAGAACTTAAAAATACATGCTTTTGGTTATAATGTAAATTAATGCTAATGAAAAGATTAAAACTCATATTTCCAGAATATTGTTTCCTTCCTGGGTCACAGGAATTAGAACCAATGACCCTAGTCTATCAGGAAAAGAAACTGTCAGAACAGAACAAATGTAAAGGATAAAAAAAAATGCATTTTGAAACAATCATTTCATATAACTGATTATTTATGGCCACAGTTTTGTCTGTAAATTATGAAAATGCTCCTTTTTATATCAAAGATCATATATAACCTAATCCTCCTCGGGAACAGTATGACTATTCACACAAATGTTTAAAGAGAAAATTTAAATACCTTTTTAAGTTTTTCATTCTCTTCCATAAATTGTTTGGCAGCCTCAGAAGTACTTTCTGCTTGTTTTTTAAGTGCTGTTTTTAATGCAATTTCTTTTGCCAACTGAGTAATAAGGGTAACCAAACGTCTCAATACTCTAAGACACAAGAACAAAAGCAAAAACAAACCAAAGTTAAAGTAACCGATAATTAAATTAGGTCCTCAGGATAGTGACTTTCAAACCAACAGTCAAATGACCCTTTTAGCTATGGTGTTAAAGATGGAGGCGATGTTAAGGGTGATATCATTCTTTTTTGCTAGAAATCTAAGCCTGTCAGTCTAAACAAGTCATAGTCTGTCTCATTCCTTTGGAATTGTTAGAAGCTTAATATTTGGACTACAGGTTCAGTGATTCATATTAATTTAACTATTTTGCCTGTAGAGCCTTTAGGTAGAAAGAGCAGAAAAAAGAATCTCAGAAAGGTGACAGGAACAATAGGAGGGGTCATTTAGCTGTTGGTGATTGGATAATTTGCTATTTATAAGAGTACTGTGCTTAGCCATAGCCACAACTAAAAACTGTTCATTCACATCTATTCCAGGGTAAGTGTTCATTATTATAAAAGTGACTGATATCTTCATTCATTCATTCATTCGTTACTTCTTTAGAACTGTCAGGTGTTTAAATTGTCAGGTGTTGTGAAGCAGGAGGTGTAGGAACTCAGACAAAGTCACTGACGGTAGCAAGGAATTTCGTTCTCATTTGGGAGCAAGAATTATTTTAGGGGCTGGAGAGGGTAAGGTGCTTGCCTTGTAAGCAGCTGGCCCAGGTTTAATAATCCCTGACATCCCATTCGGTCCCCAGTGTACCACTAGGAGTAATTCCTAACTGCAGAGCTAGGTATAACTGAGCATTGCCTCGTGTGGCCCAAAAATCAAAGACAAAAATAAAAAACAAGCACCAAAAAATCCCCACAGTATTTTAGGGCCAGACAGATAGTACAGGGATGAAGGTGCATGCTGTACACACACCCAGACCAGCTTTGATCCCCAGCACCACAAAATGGCTACTCTTAGCACCTCCAGGAGTGATCCTTGAATAGAACCCAGGAGTAATCCTTGAGCATGGCCAGTGCCTCATCCCAAACAAAGTGAAACAAAGCCCCCAAACAAACAAAAAAACCCCAACAACCAACCACCATTTCATTATATACATATTCCTTGGCAGAGTATAGCAGGAGAGCTATCATGATGGGTGAGTGATGGCTCATGGCTTCCTTGAGAGTAGGGCTGAAGATTTCAGCTAGGGAAAGAGAAAGGGAGCTGTGTTACGGCTGGAGAAACAGATGTGTCAGGACACTGAAGTCAGAATATCTAAGTACTGTCACTGTTCTCCTGTTCATCGATTTTCTTGAGCGGGCCCAGTAACGTCTCCATCATGAGACTTTGTCGTTACTGTGTTTGGCATATTGAGTATGTTCCAGGTAGCTTGCCAGGCTTTGCCGTGTGGGCGAGATACTCTCGGTAGCTTGCCTGGCTCTCCGAGAGGGGTGGAGGAATCGAACTCGGGTCGGCCATGTTGGCTGCGTGCAAGGCAAACGCCCTACCTGCTGTGCTATCGCTCCAGCCCATCTAAGTACAGTAGGAGCTAAATCAGTAATTGCTGCAAGAGCATATGAGTGAACAATGAAAGCACAGGTGGAAAGTGAATGAACGTGCCAGAGAGAAGCGTAGACCCAAACCACACTGGGTCAGGGGCTGATCAAACCTACACATCCTAACTATTACTATTTGTAACATCATCTTAATTCTCATTTACATAAGTTATGAAACAGAAAGGAGAAAAAAAAAGAAAAAAAGAAAACCCAATAGTATAGATTGAAACACACACACACACACACACACACACACACACACACACACACACACCATGTTTTAAAATTACTTACAACCAAAAAAACAGAGAAAATCCAGAAATGTAGAGATTTCTCTGAGACCTAAAAAGTTTCATCTGTGTATGTTCAAAGGCAGTAGGTTTTCCAGCTGAGCTCTTTTCAATGGCAGGAGTAACGGAGTATTTCCTTACTTCTCTTATAGCATCTATTACATGACAAAGAATAAACATTACTTTGGGCTTCTAAGAAGAGAAAATGATTAAAATAGAAAGCAGTCATAGAATAACAAAGTCAACTTTCGCACGGTGGATTTTAGGTTAGGAGTTGTCTTCTTTTTTGTCTTTTCCACAATAACTGGGAGGGCACCGTGCTCAAGTGAGATGTTCAATTAATGGATACCCATGTTAAAGTTAAAATGCAAAAGCATTTATATTTTTAAGACTATTCATTTAAGACACACTTTCATTATATTGTCTTACTTCTAGCTGTACTGCAAACCATTTTCCTTTATCCTGCTATCACTATTCTCTTCAGAAAAGACTCCTATTTATATTTATAAACTCATGTTTATATTTATTTATTTTTTATAATTTATTTATTTATTGAATCACTGTGGGAAAAGTTACAGAGCTTTCAGGTTTAGGTTTCAGTCATGTAAATATCAAACACATTTCCCTTTACCAATACTTATTTTTACCCGTGAACCCCAATAGAACCCCACCTCCCACCCCTCCCAATTCCTGTGAGGCAGATGAGTTCTAGTTAACACTCTATCTACTAGATTTATTATTACAATAAAAGATGCACCATTATTATTTGGAATTTACGACCCCCCCCCCCCCCAAATCAGACATGCTGAAAAAGCGTTGTGAAATGATTTGCTTTCTACAGCTGGGTTTAAGAATTAAATGATGTTGTGCGGCCGCACAGTTTTGGATTTCTGCTATTTTACTTATTAACCCTGGAAGTATTTCTATTAAAAGTTAGATAGTTACAGGTACAGCCCGCCCCCAAGGGCCTGGGTTCCTCTCTGGGCACGCGCAGCTAGAAACAGCCCCTAGACAGCCGGTTTTCAACCCCTGATCTGCGTGGGATGGGCACAGAGGCCCAGCTCTGGGCAACAAAGCTGAACGGCTCCAATTCCAACAGGTACAGCCCGCCCCCAAGGGCCTGGGTTCCTCTCTGGGCACGCGCAGCTAGAAACAGCCCCTAGACAGCCGGTTTTCAACCCCTGATCTGCGTGGGACGGGCACAGAGGCCCAGCTCTGGGCAACAAAGCTGAACGGCTCCAATTCCAACAGGTACAGCCCGCCCCCAAGGGCCTGGGTTCCTCTCTGGGCACGCGCAGCTAGAAACAGCCCCTAGACAGCCGGTTTTCAACCCCTGATCTGCGTGGGACGGGCACAGAGGCCCAGCTCTGGGCAACAAAGCTGAACGGCTCCAATTCCAAACAGGAGACATTCCCAACTCCTCGCCCAGTGCCAGGGATTCTTTCCGGAGCCGCGGCCGCGTATGCGGCCGCAAAATATTTTCCCACTACATATGCCATAGGAACCATAAGCTAACTTCTTAGATGGAAACTTCTCTATTTTATCTCAGCCACTAGAAACACAGTTGCCAATAACTCATAAGCCTATCTTAACTCACACTGCATATCAAGCAGAATAGTAACACTGAACGTGAAGGACTAAACCACACCTCTCACAATGGTAAAGCAACGCAAAAGCCCACCAAACATTCATATTGAAGAGTCTAGCCCAGATGACACCAACAGTACTGTAGTGTTAGACAACCTCTCTGACAAGGAATTCAGAAGGGAGCTACTTAGGATGCTTAGGGAATTAAAAGAAACAATGGAAAGCAATGCCAATAGAAGACAAGAGGATCTGAAGGCAGAAATGAGGAAAATGCAATCAGAAATGTCAGACCTGAAAAATCTCGTAGGCGAATTGAAAAGCTCAGTGGAAGGCCTCAGCAGCAGAGTAAGAGCGACTGAGAACAGAATCAGTGAGCTCGAAGATGAAGTTCAGAGACTCTCCAGAAAAGAGCAGAAAATGGAAAAGAGACTCACAATTCGGGAACAGATGGCAAGAGAAGATCGTGATGAAGCCAAGAGGGGTAACATAAGAATTATTGGAGTCCCAGAGGGACAGGAAGAAAACCTCGATGAAGAAGAAACTGTCAAAGACATCATTGCTACAACATTTCCAGAGCTGAAGAAAACTTGTGACCACATTCAGGAGGCCCGAAGGGTACCAGCTAGAAGAAATCCGAATAAAAAGACCCCAAGACACATCCTGATCAAAATGACCAAAACCTTAGACAGAGACAAAATTCTGAAAGCAGCAAGATCGAAGAAAGAAATCTCTTACAAAGGAGCATCCTTAAAATTCACAGCTGATTTTTCTGATGAAACCCTCATGGCCCGAAAACAGTGGTGGGACATAGTAAAAAAACTCAATGAAATAAATGCCTCCCCCAAAATACTTTTCCCAGCAAGACTCTCATTCATAATAGAAGGAACAACACACAGTTTCACAGACAAACAACAGCTCAGGAACTTCATAGACTCAAAACCATGGTTACAAGAACAACTAAATGGGCTACTTTAAGGCAAGAAAGGCCCCTCAAATACACCAAATTTTAACAGAACAATGGGACAAAATCCCATAACAATAATCTCTCTCAATGTCAATGGGCTAAACGCACCAATTAAAAGACATAGAGTGGCAGGATGGATTAGAAAATTGAACCCAACATTCTGCTGCCTGCAAGAAATGCATCTCAATAGTCAAAGCAAACACAGACTCAGAGTCAAAGGCTGGAAAACAATCCTACAGGCAAACAGCTCCCATAAAAAAGCTGGGGTAGCCATCCTTATATCAGACCACATCGATTTCAGAGTGAGGAAGGTCATAAGAGACAGTGAAGGCCATTTCTTATTGATCAGAGGATCTGTACAACAGGAAGAACTTACAATAATAAATGTATATGCACCTAATGAGAGACCAGCAAAGTACTTAAAACAACTACTCATAGATTTGGAAAAAGACATCAATAGCAACACAATACTAGTGGGAGACTTCAACACTGCTTTGTCACCTCTTGATAGATCAACCAGACTCAAGCTTAGCAAGGACATACTTCATTTGAGGGAAATAATGGAAGAAAGGGACTTAGTAGATATATACAGGACACTTCATCCACAAAAAGCTGAATACACATTCTTCTCAAGTGTACATGGAACATTCTCCAAGATAGACCACATGCTGAGCCACAAAACATGCCTCCATAAAATCAAGAAGGTAGAGATTGTATCAACAATCTTCTCAGACCATAATGCACTGAAATTAGAAGTAAATCACACACAAAAACAGAAAACTAAATCAAACACCTGGAAATTAAACAGTGCACTATTGAACAACGAGTGGATTAGACAGGAAATCAAAGAGGAAATCAAAAGATTCCTAGAAACGAATGAAAATGAGAACACGAGTTACCAAAACTTATGGGACACAGCAAAGGCTGTGTTAAGAGGAAAGTTTATAGCTCTACAAGCATTCCTCAGGAAGGAGGAGCGAGCACACATAAGTAACCTAACCTCACAGCTTAAGAGCTTGGAGAAGGACCAAAAAAAGGAGCACAACCCGAACAGGAGAAAGGAAATAATAAAACTCAGAGCAGAGATTAACGAGATGGAAACCCAAAAAACAATCCGAAAGATCAATGAAACCAAGAGCTGGTTCTTCGAGAAAATTAACAAGATCGATAAGCCTCTAGCAAAACTCACAAAGAAAGGGAGAGAGAAAACCCTAATAAACCGAATCAGAAATGAAAAGGGGGTCATTACAACAGAAACCACAGAAATTCAGAGGATCCTCAGGGAGTACTTTGAGAAGCTTTATGCCACGGAACATCAAAACCTCGAGGAAATGGATAAATTCCTAGACTCCTACAGACTCCCAAGGCTGAACCAAGAAGACCTGGAATACCTGAACAGACCTATCACCATCAAGGAAATTGAAATGGTAATAAAAAGTCTCCCCAAGCACAAAAGTCCTGGCCCGGATGGATTCACTAGTGAATTCTTCCAAATCTTTAAAGAGGACTTACTCCCAATGCTCTTTAAGCTTTTCCACGAAATTGAAATATCAAAAACACTTCCAAACAGTTTCTACGAAGCAAATATCACACTGATACCAAAAGCAGACAGAGATACCACAAAGAAAGAGAATTACAGGCCGATATCCCTGATGAACACAGATGCAAAGATCCTCAACAAACTACTAGCAAATAGAATCCAACTACTCATTAAAAAGATCATACACCATGACCAAGTAGGATTCATCCCAGGGATGCAAGGATGGTTTAACATTCGGAAATCAATCAACATAATCCACCATATCAACAAAAGAAAAGATAAAAAGCATATGATCATATCAATAGATGCAGAGAAAGCATTTGATAAGATCCAGCACCCCTTTATGATGAAAACCCTAGCCAAAATGGGTATAGAGGGGACCTTCCTCAACATAATTAAAGCCATCTACCACAAGCCTACAGCAAGCATCATCCTCAATGGGGAAAAACTGAGAGCCTTCCCTCTAAGATCAGGGACGAGACAGGGATGCCCACTCTCTCCACTGCTGTTCAATATAGTACTGGAAGTACTTGCAATAGCGATTAGGCAGGAAAAAGATATTAAGGGCATTCAGGTAGGAAAGGAAGAAATCAAGCTCTCACTATTCGCAGATGATATGATACTCTACTTAGAGAACCCAATAACTTCCACCAAAAAACTCCTAGAAACAATAGACTCGTATAGTAAAGTTGCAGGTTATAAAATCAATACCCAAAAGTCCATGGCTTTCCTATACGCAAACAGTGAGAGAGAAGAAAGCAACATGAAAAAAACAATCCCATTCACAATTGTGCCCCAGAAAATCAAGTACCTAGGAATCAGCTTAACTAAGGAAGTAAAGGACCTGTACAAAGAAAACTACAAAACGCTACTTCAGGAAATAAAAGAGGACATGAGGAAATGGAAAGATATCCCCTGCTCATGGGTCGGGAGACTTAACATTGTCAAAATGGCAATACTACCGAAAGCATTGTATAAATTCAATGCAATCCCTATAAGGATACCCATGACATTCTTCAAAGAAATGGAGCAAACACTCTTGAAATTTATATGGAACAATAAGC